TAGTACGGCGGTTTTATACTGTGTTTTAGTGCCGTTTTGCACCGGATCCCACCTTCGTCTCCACGTGCAACTGAGGAAAAATTGGACTTTTTGGACCAGTTTTGGTGAGTTCTTCTCAAGAAAAAATTGTACTACCACTTTATGTGAGCACTCGCGGTGTAGTGCAGACCAGGGCGAGCGAGGGCTCCTTTGCCATCTTTCTGTAGAGCGTTTGATGGCGGAAAGTCCATCTATGAAGACGGAGTTTATATTTCTTACCCGCACTTAATCTCTCTTATTGCGGGGTTTTAATATCTGCGGCGCGTTGATACTTGTAGTGAGTATCTTTTCCTTCCATAACACCAGACAGTCGCCATGTCTACTTGAACTCGGTGGTCAGGTGGATAGCCTTGGCTATTCTTGATCTTCATATGAAGGCAATAATTCTCACTATCGTGAGACGGGTCGCGTCCCGACACTCCGCACACGGTTCCTAGTCTCCTACGCATGCTTTGCGACTTCCTCACGTGTTCGCGCCGCAGTCCATCTAGTGCTAAACACGGTATCAGCTGCCCAAAAGGCGAGCAGCTAATACTGTTTTAGCTATGCCGGAGCGTCGTCTTTACGCCTCGCTGAGCTAGCTTATAAGTGATAAAGTTAAGTTTATTGCCTCCTCGCTCTACTGTTTTTGATATCACTCGGGCCATATTAAGAGCAGCAGGACAATGTGTCCCGCCCCATGGTGCGCCGGTTTGTGAAGAAAATGAGCCGCGGATATCCTGGGACGGATCGCAGCACGAGTATTTAGCCCATCGACCAGCACACCAACCACAGTACTGCCCCATGACTTCGCCCCTCCAGTTCACGCTCCTAGCGGCCCTTGCATGGACCCTATGGAGGCTTTGCCGTAACTTTCTCGTTCGCTCGCCCCTCGATAACATACCCGGTCCACAGCGCTCTTCATTCTGGACAGGTGGCTACTCTAATCATTTTATTCTCTTTTGCACTGGCTGTCAGTCCGTTGATCTCACCTTTCCTCAGGAAACATCAAAAATCTGTTCAATCGCCATGGCTGGGACTTCCACGACACGATTTCTCAGCAGTACGGACCTGTCTCGAAGGTGTACACGGCATTCGGCGTACGTGTAACACTTCTGACGCGCATACACGATCATCTCCCTCATCATGCACCAGGGCCAGGGCCTATACGTCTATGACCCCAAGGCTCTGAATAGCATCATAGTCAAAGATCAGTACACGTACGAAGATGCATCGTGGTTCATCAAGTAAGTAGCAACGCAGCCTGGGAGTAGCAGCTGCTCACATTGGCTACCGTAGATGGAATCATATGACAATTGGGCCAGCATTGTTTGCGACATTAGGTAAGCACAGATGGATACTGCTCCTTTTGCTGAAACATGCAACTCTGCAGGCGAGCATCACCGCAAACAGCGCAAGATGTTGAACCCTGTCTTCTCCGTCGCGCACATGCGGTATATGACGCCAATTTTCTACAATGTTGTCCACTGCGTAAGTCTGTCTACCTCTTTGGGGCTACTCCATTGTCTCTACCCTTCCTTGCTTAGCTTCGGGAAGCCGTCTCTACAAAGATCAACGATGACTTTGGGGAAGTCAACGTTATGGAGTGGATGTGTCGCACCGCGCTTGAGCTTATTGGGCAGGGCGGCCTTGGATACTCATTTGACTCACTCGTGGCAAACTCAACAAATGAGTTCGGTATCGCTCTCAAAGAGTTTATGTGAGCACTTCCTTTTTATAATCCCATGCCAGCCCTTCGCTTCCTTCTGACGCGTAAGTAGACCCACAACGTTTGCGCTGCACATCTGGCGTGCACTGGCGCCGTTTTACACGTCCTATATTCCCCTTGTGATTCGCCGGCAAATCATCAGATGGGTACCGCATAAGAATGCACAGAAGATGCGCACAATTTCACAGACAATGGCGGCCCACTCCAGGGAGATATACGAGCAGAAGATGGTTGCATTCGCCCGAGGTGATGACGCCGTCGTACATCAGATTGGCAAGGGGAAGGATATCATGAGTATTCTAAGCAAGTGATAGTGCTCACTCTGTTGAGTGGAACTGATTTATAGCTATAATGCAGTCCGAGCAAATGTAAACGCTTCTGAGGGAGACAAGTTGCTCGAAGAAGAAATAATCGCTCAGATATCGCAAGTATCTCCTCTGGCATGGCCAGGGACGTGCGCTCACAGGACTCCACGTGCAGCGCCCTCGTTTTGGCTGCCACAGATACCACATCCAATGCTCTCGCACGGACACTCCACCTCTTATCTGAACACCAGGACGCCCAGGATAAGGTCCGTGCGGAGCTCGTACAGGCGGCCCCCGACGGCGAGGACGTTCCGTACGGCCAGCTCGTCGATCTCCCCTATCTCGATGCGGTGTGTCGCGAGACGCTGCGTCTGTGAGTCGACCGAGAGTTCTACCGGTGCTTACTGCTCACCCGTATTGGAATAGATACCCTCCTGTCGCTTTCCTCAGTCGCGAGTATGACACTCATGATTGGCTCTGTTGTCGGTTGTTGCTGACATGAGCCTGCCAGGACGCGCAACGATATCGTCATGCCACTCTCAGAGCCCGTGCGGGGCCTCGATGGCACGCTCGTTAGCGAGATTGCAGTGCCGAAGGACACACCAATCTTCATCTCTATGCGAGGCTGCAACCGTAACCCGGCAATCTGGGGCGAGGATGCGCTGGAGTGGAAGCCGGAGCGCTGGCTGACGCCGCTTCCCAAGGCACTTGGCGAGGCACATGTGCCTGGTATCTACGCGAACCTGTGAGTTACCCTATTTAAACTTCAATGTTCAACGGTAATATCCCTCCTCGGGGGAATACACAGTATGACATTCCTCGGTGGCGGGAGAGCTTGTCTGTGAGTCCTTTTCTTACACCTTCTAAGCTCGGTTCTCATTTGCATTTGCAGTGGCTTCAAGTTCTCTCAGCTAGAAATGAGTGAGAGGTCTTTACTGTGGTTTTGTCAAACTTGGGTCTGACCGCTGTGCTTCCGCAGAGGTTGTGCTGGCCGTCATGCTGCGTCCCTTCCGCTTCCTTCCCAGCGACAAGGAGATTTATTGGAATCTTGCTGGAGTCAGTTATCCTACGGTTGGCAAGGATGGTATAAGAGCTGAGATGCCGATGAAAATGGAGGCTATTCAATTCTGACCTTGTCCCCGTAGCCTGATTGGGTTCATTGGATCTTCCCACGTTTTAACCCGTTTCTCTGAAACAGTTGCGATTCGTGTGCAATGTGACGTTTCGACCAAGGCCATGTTGTGATTGGAGCTGTTTTCGTGGCTGGCCGGCTGGACTCGGTATATATGCAGGGGCTCGCGGAGCCAGCTCACAGCTACTCGAGGCGGACACGCTCGCTAACAGAATCTGCTACTACTCCTTGCACATCTTCCCAATTAGTCTTGTTCTGATGGAGGCTCTCTGAGCACGAACCTAGACGCAGGATTCGGTGACAGTGTGTCATTTGTCAAGAGGTCCACTCACGACATGACAACTTGAAGAAAGCTAACTGATCAGTCCTAGATGCACAATGAATTCAGTATACGCGGACATAGGTAAGCCGGGGCAGTTATCAGCGATTTGCTAGAGGGCAGTCATCGTTCACATTAATCTCACATATGCCCAGAAGACTGTTTATGCTATGTGTTATTCTATTCCCCTCATCCCGTATTTCTCATTCTGTACCCACTCCGATTAGTCTTGAAAAATACCTCTCAGTACCCGTTCATTCTTTCTGAGGCGTGCAAAGCCGCACTCGAGGTCGCCCTACGATCACTCTGTCAGCTAGTGTCGAGACAGGCCGTAGCAGGTACCCTCATCGAAATCAATGACAAACTCACTCGATTGACCAAAGCCTTAAGTATATGCGCAATGCCCTTTCCCTCACACGCATCTGATTCGCTGACGGAGATGTGCGCCTCTGTTTCACCACGCTTGAACATGAACCCTGGCGTCGGGTTATCCTTTTCACGCGCACATCAGCCCTCCTCCAGAGACGTATACGATGACGACGAGTGCTTACACAGTTGTTCTCTGCCCTGAGCGCCCTCATATCGCATATCGTCGCCGCCTTGCAGCTGTCGTCACACGCCTGCACGTCCCCACCGCGACTGATGAACGTGTTAAACATCTGGAACGCTGTGCCGTTCACCGCAAAAACCTCGGTGAGGTTGTGCCAGAACGCGGCGTCAAGCGGCGCGTCGGCGGGTAAGGGCGGCGTCACCAGTGGGCCGTAAGTCGCGCGTGCGCTATAGTAGAACTCCCATTGCGGCGGAGAAGATTGGAAGTTCGGTGCGGAAATATTTGCTGAAGGAGTGTAAATGAATTTGGGCGGTTAGGAGCATGGTAAGGGAGAGACGCACTGATGTACACCCGCGCGTCCATGATTTCGAATGTATCCGGGTCGACGTCGTAGATCTTGAACGCGGGATTGCCGCCTTGCCAAAAAAATGATTCTAGCTGTGTACCATACGCGATAGTTAGATGGGACACTCACTTGTAGGCGTCAACGCCGGCGCGATAAAGGCGATACTCGTTGCCGTCGACGCTGTCTGATTACTGTAATCCGAGTACGCGATCTCGAATTGGTCCTACTCATGACAGTAAACGTCGCACCACAGCCTCGCAGAGCTCGGGAAACGCACCTTGTGACTATGCCCGAAGAACTGTGCTGAGATCGTGTTCTTGTACCGCTGAGTGATCTGGTCGTAATAATTCGACTACATGGTGGCAGCAACATTCCCATTGGGCATGATACGTGTATACACCAGACAGGACTTACCTGGTCGTTCAGCAGATCCTCCTTACCCATCGGAATATGCCCAATGATGAAAGCACGCTGGCCTGCGTCTTCTGCAGCCTGAAGCTCTTGCACCGTAAACGCGAGTAGGCCATTCGGATCGGGCCTGTTTGCCAAGCATTAGTTCAGGGGCACTTGGAAGTACACCGACAAACAGAAGACGCACTGCTGAATGTTGCTATCATATACCCAAAAGCTGTAGGAGATATTAACACCCAATGTGCATTCGTGGTGTGGTGGCATGCTCACTTCTGCTTGTACCAGTACTGCGTGTTGACCGAAATGATGCTGTCAGACTCGTTGAATTCTTCATACGCACGGCACGACAGGCAATAAACTCACCGCAAATTCAATCCGGGTACCACAGCTGAATAGCTCCCGGAAGTGTGTCCCTCTTGCAATGCGGCAGTGGCGCCTATCCATCGCTACGGCCATCCTGCCATAAGCAATCGATACCTTTGGGTGAGGGGTGCTACGAAGACGTACAGCCCATCCGGCACTCTGCGTGTCGAATACCCACTGCACGTCCATTGACGTAATTGTAGTGTTACGCGGGAACGCGTTCGATGGCACAGAGTCGTGATTCCCTAGGATACAAAAAAAAACAAACAGAAGATCTAGCAATCCACAGAGTTGCGATATCACGAACCGATGGCAGGGTAGACTGGCGCCTTCAGCTTGGAAGCCATCTCAGCATTGAAAGCTTCAAGATCGTTGGTGACCTCTCTATGGCGTACGATGAGGAAGACAAAATTCACATAGTTCCCGGGACGGTACTAACGTTTTTGTTACCAGCCATGACGTATCTGCGCAGGCTTATTCGTCAGCGTCTACTATAAAATACAGGAGGGCAATCCCACGCTCTACCACGTCTCCAGTGAATAGTGTAAACTTGGCGGTCGAGCCGATTCGCTGAGCCGCTTCGAGCATCGAGTCGGCCAGGGTCACTGGTGAGTCGCAGTGCGAGTTGCCGTTGGGGCCTGCAGGCTCCGTCGGAGGACCCGTCTCGTCCGCGAAGTTCCTGCAGCAGATGGGCTTTGTGCAGTTCGCCTCCGAGTCGAGCTATCCAAATCCTTGTCATCAGCCTCAGAATCATCGAGCGAGCGCAAGGAGACTCCGCACAGTGTAGAATCTGTCAATGTGCACGTCGCTGATGTGGATGACCTGAAAGGGCAGCTTTCCAGTGGACTTGAAAGCTTTCGGGTTGGCAGGCGCTGCTTTCGGAAACGGGACGGCGAAGGCGTTTACGGGCGGCGGGTTACACAGCCCGAACACGGCGTCGCAGAATTTGGTCGCGGTCTGGCCGGTGGCGGAGATTCGACGGAGGTCGTGCGCGAGGATAGGACCATCTTTCGCGAAAATACCTTGGCAGACGTCCGGATCTTCCAGCTATGTGTGCGTCAGATGTTAATGAGCTCGCAGAATAGTAAAGGACGGGTTAATGCGCGTACCCCGAAATCATCGCAGACCGAGACGAAGGTGTCCACGAATGCATCGTCGCCGAGGTGTGCGAGTGTCTGTAGCGGGACGAGGAGCGCATGGCACGACGAGCAGTCTGTGGCATTCTTGAGGGCGTCCTCAATCTCTCTAAGAAGGTCGCCAGATGCGCTACGCAACAGAGTGAGTAGTGGCAAGGTGCCCAGCAGCCCTTTGAAGAACATGTTTGCGAGCTGATGGAGGCTTCGCATCCAACATGCGGGCCGTGTCTATATGCAGGTGTCCTGTTGACACCATAATGATGAGCGAGAAATCTGAGAGAAGGGCATCTTGAACGCGAATCGCACCTTGAGTCGACACGTTCATAGAGGTAAATGCCTCACATGATCCTCTCATCCAGCGGCATGAGGTCGGTGCGCCATCCTTGGTCGAGTCTACCCACGGCTCGTCGCAGGAAGCACTCGCCCTTCGAGAAGGGCAATAAGGTTCGACGATTTGAGAGAATCCTTGGTGGAGATCCTGAACGGCAGCATGATCGAACGTGCTGGGCCCACCTGCATCAGGAGTGCCGCATGACATGCATGTTAGGAATCGGACATTAATACTGCGTGAGCTGCTCGGGTTCCGCGAATATCGACTGTGAAGCTACGCCCGGCTCGGACAGTCTAGCGAAACATGAACGGACGTGATACCCGGATACATATGCATCCACAAGAGCCAGATTACAGTCTGTGATTCACAGATCAGCGGTGCGTATCGAAAGGAGTGATAAATAGAACGACTGACTAATGAGTGCGTACCGAAGGCAGTGCGCGGACGACAGGTAATCACGATCGGTCTGCAAATGCTCGGGAGACATACCATCCGCTTCTGCGGTGAGCTGTGAAAGTTTAGTATCCACATACAGTTAAGACGACTTCACACGATGTTCTGAGACTCGCGCAAGATCTATTTGGCCTTCGCTCAACTAAGTGCCCACGTCAAAGTAAGACGATCTCCCACTCCGATCCTGGTAATTCACTCAGATCGAGCTTGAGCATAGATCATCGGTTGGTATTCAAGCCCTATTCATCGACTTCGTGACGCAGCTATTAATTTTGTTTTGTATATACAAGGAAAAACGGCGTACATAATTTTGAACCACTTCTAGTTGCCTCACCATTCTTTGATGATCTAAGATTCTCAAGGAAAGGCGTGCGAGACCTCTAAACTGAGGTAACGGAGGTATCATTTAGACTATCGGAGTACACCTTCTGTTCCCTAACGGTCGTGCTCTGAGGTGAGTCATGACAATTATTCACGCGCCAATGCAAGACACGCACTGCATGACCAGTTACAGCAGGCATCCTTCGCGACCTGCCCTCTTCTATTCAACATGCGAACGTTCTCCCGAACGGTGAGTCGACGTTTAGAGCTTCGATGGATGTAAAAGAGGCAGTCGTCTGTAGAGCGGTGAGATGGTCACCAAGGGACTGAGGGCGGAGTCGGCCTTAGATATCTAGATCTTGGTCAACAGGTCGCAAATACTCCAGTCCTTCCCCGGAGGGGTCAACAGGGCGTCCACGATGCAGAGGCTCGAAAGCTTGAGCTTTGGATCAACTCATCATCCAAGTCGTTTCCAGTCAGCAACGGAGACTACTTGAAGGTAGTGTGTGGGGAGATTGCGCTCGGGACGACGGTGCGCTCGTCAGGCGAAACATGAAAGTGTGGGCTCTTGACGATGCCATTGTGGCTTAGCAATGGCCAAGTCACCATTGCGTTCTCCATATGGCAACCTACAATTCATTCATTTTTCCTTCATGTTAGTGCTGCGACCTCACTTTGCCGTAACCACGAGCGATCCTGTAGGCAGCAAACATCTGTCTGGTACCGAGGACGAGCCGAAGAGATAGATAACGCACGATGTTCCTCCAGTCAATTCATCCCACATGCAGTATCCGAACACACCCATGTGGGCCCAGGGCGCCCGATAGCAGTTCTCTTCCACTTCCGCTTCTTGTCCTTCTCGAACCCTGAAGGTCCCAGCCCATTTGCACGCACCAGCAATCGTCAAAACTGGGCTGGGCACAAGAATCCTAGTAGCACGCCCGAATGCGCTGGCAAAGCTGATGGTAGCAGACACGGCTGAAAAGGTCAAGCTAATGGCCGAGACGGTCTTTCCAGAGAAGCAAGTTTGACAAGACTAGGATGTCCATGGCAGGACAGGCAGCATTTAGAGCTATCAAGGTACACAGCGCAAGTTCAAGCAGCCTCAAGCTCGCCATGGTCGCCGCGGGAAGGATGGTCCGATCCTGAGGTCACTTTTGGGCGATTTGTGCCCGCGTACTTTTACCCGGGTTTGCAACCTAGTGCGGAT